TTTCTCTCAGTCTTTGGACCAATCAGGCTTTGAGAATAACCCACGTGTGACCATTCCCTCCCCCTTCTGAAAATAGACGTTCAGGTAAAACCAACGTCCTTTCTATTTCCCTCTCTCCTCTCTTCCTTCTTGCCTCTACCTTTCTCCTTTCCACTCTCTCCAATTAATTTACATGGTGTATTCCAGCATCTGAGCACACTTCATTTAATATTGGCTGGTATTGATAACTACATTCCAATAAACATCTTTCATATTTATAATTTTGCCTACATCCTATTTTTAGTGGTATATGTATTTCAAAATTCCATTATTTGATCTACCCCCCAAAAAAGCCTATTTTTTGGACAAAGTGTGAGGTGGATTCCTGCTAAACGTATACTAATTTTACATAATTATATGTCATTAAGCACCCCGAATTTTTAACTCTCATTAGTGCTTCAGTTAACTATTCTGCTTGGGCATATTTTTGATTCCCTCTCCATTTTTCATTTTATATTAATAAAAAAGTTTTTAAAAATCCTATAAGCATCCTCATATGATAACAGCATTGTATTTAATTATATACATATTATTTATCTATATCCAAATAATCATTTTTTATTTCTGTTACTGCGTAGCATGTAGTGTAGCAAATGTATCAGACTGCCTTTAATTTTCTTTTTTATTTAAATAATGTACATCTCCCTTGCATTTTAATAAATTCTACCAATCTTCCCTGATCTATTAATTTATATTCAATTATCATTGTTAACATCTCAAATTTCTCTCCCCTTAAAAAGAGAAAAGGGAGGAGGGGAGGTCTACCTGTTCAATTAATCACACTTGTTCCTGTGAATATTACATACTTATTATTTATCTATAACCAAATAGTCATTTCTTATTCCTCTGTTACTTCATAATATGCAATATAGCAAATGTATCAGGCTGCATTTAATTTTCTTTTGGTTGAAATCTTTACTGCGTCATACCTATTATTCAATTCAGTCACTGCATAAAATACAACAGGTAATGTACCTCTCCCTTATATTCTACACATAAATATCAACCAACTCAAATATGTTAATTTGTATTTGATTATCTTTCTATTGCCATCTTTATTTATTACAACCTTATCTGCTAATTTTTAACTGTTATCTAAAATAACAATCCTTGTGTCACAGATATCTTCTCCACTTAAGAGGAAAAAAACCTACCAGTTCTGTTAACCACACTTATTTCCTGTAAATATCATTACTAATGTTATCTATATATATATAATTCCCTTCTTCCTCTCTCCTATCAACTTTTTCTTTCCTTATCCTTTCCACTTCTTTCTAGTGAGCCTTTTTATCCCAGTCTCTAAACTACTTCTTCTTTTTCTTCTTACCCTTTCTGTATCCTCCCTCCCAAATCTTTTTTATCCCTTTTTGCTGTGCCATTCGGTGTGCACTCATCAAAGTTTTCGTTTGTCTCTTCACCCTATGTCCCTTTTTTTCTTTTATTATTAAGCTTTTTCCCCGTGATGTGTTTCCGTTCTTCTTTCTTCTCTGTATCTTTCTGATTGTTTCCCTTTCTTTCTTTCTTACTCCCTTTTCCTTTCTTTGTTAGGACATGCTCCTCCTTTTCCATTTTTCCTGTTACACACCAAGCCCCATGATGTTATTTATCTGTTTTGTTTTTGTCTTCCCTTCTAATACTTTTTCTGTCTTTTCAGCTTTAATGATTCCCGCATATTTCTCATCTCACATATTCCTTCCAGTTCCCAACGTTCCATAATTCCCAATTAACGATTTGCAGCTTTCCCCCTTTAAATTTATATCTTAGTTCATTACAATTTAAAACCCACTATTTCTTCTTATATATCAGTTTTAGTCCAGTTTAGATGTTCCAGTTCTGCTCCAACAAAACAGAAAATTCCCCCTTTCTTCCACGGTTACAGAGGGACAAAGTCAAAGAACCTGTGCAAACAGCCCCTCCCTAGTAGTTCTCACCATGCCACGTCGCCTCAAAGCAGGTTTTTTAAGTTTCGCTTTCTCTGTTTCTCGCCACAGAGTTTAATTTTTAATGTGTGCCCACAATGAAAAAAAAAGTTATCTATCTTAACTAATAGCTGCATTTTTCTAATTGAGATCTACAGAGAATAGCATTATTCTAAACCGGTGCTCGGATGTCTATCCAAGAGTATCTAGAAAAAACAAAGTTGCATCACAGGCCATGTTCTGAAGTAGTTGCTATTGGTATTAGAATTGAATTTATATGTGAAGCTTTATGCTTAAGAAACCATTCGAATGTATTGGGATGAACTTCAGATTCCAGTTGGGAGTATCAGTTTGAATACAGCGGTTCTAAATGCTACATTTGAGAGGAGCATAATTGAACACTGTGGAATGTAACGCAGCTTTTTTTTGGTTCCTAGATGAAGGCTAGAATTGCAGCAGATATTGATGGAAAGACTTCTCGCCTTCTTTGGATTGGTTTGGCCTTAATGTCTACTCAGGGGGGAGCCCTGGCTTGGCTCACCTGGTGGGTCTACTCATGGGACATTATGGAACCTGTTACTTACTTTATCACTTACGGAAGTGCCATGGCATTCTATGCGTACTTTGTACTTACTAAGCAGGTAAGGAGGTGATACATACAAACAAAAATCAGTTGCGACTGCTTGAAATTTGAAACATATATACATACGTGCACAAGGCTTTGAAGTGTTATGCTAAGTATCCTTAACTTTTCCTTTGAGAGCAGTTGTAGGGTGTTTGTTTCAAAAGTTCTGCAAATTGTTCAGAGTTGATCAGTAAAGATTCCAATGCTTCAGATTCTGCAAGTCTGAAAAATCACCTGCTGTTTATTATAATGTAGCATCTGCCTACAGTAATGCAGTTTATGTATCTTGTGGATGTGGTGCAGGAAGGTGTGATTATCTTAGTCTTTTCAGTTGTTCTTTTTTAATTAGAAGCCTTTTTAATAATACAAAGACATATCAGCCCTTATTCGATTATCTGGGGAAACTAATGCTTTAAAGAAAAATAGGCTGCATCAAACAAAAGTCCTGCTATCCCTGTTCCCATTTCCTTCCATGTAAAAATCGCTTCTTCTGTAGTAATCATAATTTGAGGCGATGTCCAGGGGTGGGATTCTACCGGTTCGGGCAAATCGGTAGCTCTGATGATCAGCTGGGAGCAAACCGGTTTGCTCCAACAATCAGCTGGGCCCACTCACCTGCCCCTGCGTTTTACTGGCCTAGTATATCCTCTCAGCTGAGTTGCACGGCAGAGCAGATTGCATCCCCTTAGCTGTTTTCCTCCTCAGCAGTAATGCGTAAGATAAGCTTTCTCAAAACTGTGTATGCAGCGCGTGCCAAGTGCATGTGTGAAGCGTGCGATCACCGAACTGGTTGTTAAACCAGTAGGATCCCACCACTGGCTATGTCAGCCTTACCGTGTAGATCAGACAGGAAACAAAACCAGGTAAATTAATTCTACATTATAAAGCGATATTAATAGAATCTTGCAAACCTGCAAGTAAAATTTCCTGGCTCCTTTGCAACCTAATAAACTAGGGAGGGCGTCTTCTGAGCCTCTTGTAATGCACATTATAGAGCTGAGGGCTCTGCTCTCTCTTATCTGATCATTCCCTAGGGAGCTTCTCTTTGCTCTGTCTCCCAAGATCCTTCACACATTGCCATTACATATTGCCATATCTTGAAAACAATGTTTTCTAGTATTCAAGATACGTTAATTGGAAATAAGGGTTATTTCTACAGAAACCCGATCAAGCAAATCAAACCTTAGTAAATCCTAAGAAACCCTTTCTAAAATTTTGAGATACTAGTATTGAGATATAGTTGAAGTAGAACCCCATAAAATAACATGTTACAAAACACTTTGTGTAACCAAGTTTATAGCCTTGTTGAACGCAATTAGAATTTGGTTTATTACATATCATGATTAAAACCTGGTTTAATGAAATATACAGATCCACTTAACGCCTCACGTGTTTCATTTTAAATCCAGGACTGAGCTTGAAAGAGATTTTGTATTCTGCAGTCTTCTATGTGTGAGCCGGGGAAATTTCCTGTATGGTTTATCGATATTCAACCATACAGGAAATCTTATTGAATTAATTTTTTCTTGGTTTTTTTTTTTTTTACTTGTCATTTTAAGGATTATATTTACCCAGATGCTCGAGACAGGCAATTCCTTCACTATTTTCACCGGAAAGCTAAAAGCCAGAACTTCAATATGATTCTGTATAACAAGTTAAAAGAGGACCTGGAAGAGGTAATTTAATCACATAGATTGCTCTGTCTATCTGCGCTTCAGTATGTTTTGAAAGTCAATTATTTGCAACTACTACTGGCAGTTTTATTTCCCTTTCTTGTGTACAGAAAGCAGTTCAATCTTCTGAAAAGTAAGTTTTTAAAAGCATGTTCCTAGTCCTCCAGAAAAAAGGAAAGGAATCATGTTACGTTGTGGGAATCCTCCTAGATCTATCTGTTATAGCAGCTGCAATTAGTCTACTGGGGATGAAAATTTGAAATCTTATAGATTATCTGCTTTGCTGCCTGCAAAAGTGAATAGGTTAGTTTAGTATATTGTAAGATGAACCTGCCAATTTACTCAGATCTTCCAATTGATGAAGGATGGCTTGGAGAGGAGCCAGTTACAACATTTGTTCACAAAAAGCAGTTACTAAGCCCAGAAATGGTAATCTAGCTAAAGTGTTACGTCTGTCTTGCACAGATTAATTCAGCTGCTAATAACTGTAGTCAAGGTACCTTTTTCAGGCAGAGAAAATGCCATCCCATGCCACAAAGCACATTTACCCTGCGTTAGCACCTGGGAAACAACTGTACATTTAATGCAAAATGATTACAAATGCACAGGTTCTCTTGCTTCCTCAGCACATTCATTCAATGTATATACTTTTGTATAATCATTTTCTTTCTGTTTCCTTTTATTCACTTTTTAAAATATTTTGAAACACGCTAGAGGTAGAGGTAGTTATAGAGATAGTCTATAATCATGAGTAACTATCATATTGCATATTGCAAACCCAATTCAGCATTTTCAATTGATTACAATTCAGTTAATTCTTTCCTATGTTTCTACTTTAGTGAAGAATAGGTCATTGGATATGTATTCTGGCTAAGTAGGTCCAGCATCCATAGATACAAAATAAAATGTATGGAAAAGTTTATTTCAGAGTGTCTTGCTACCTGCTAGCTAAATCAGTTTCCTAATTTTAAAATTAAGTGTAATTGAATTACATTTAAGATCTAAATTCAGGTTATTAAGGTGCTTTGGTTAACAAAATACATAACTGAATAATATAGAATTTGATGGAAACTATTTACAACTATTTAAACTTGTCACTTTTTTTTCCTTTTACACTATCAGGTGGAAGAATCCTTGAAACGACTGAGGAACCCCTTACAATTACAGCTTCCAGTGCAAGAAATTAATGACAAACATTAATTTTAAGTTTCAGCCTGTTGAGTTCCCTCAAAAAAACTCACAAACTGGACATTTTGAACCACTATATTAAAGCTGAATGTACAAAACTTTACAAATAAAACCCCAAATCATACTTTTTGTATATATCACTCCTCCACAATATTCGAGTTTAGAAAGAATAATCATCTTAATCTTGGATGGCCAATCCATTCTTAATAAAACAAGAC